GGGCACTCGCAGACGATGTTATGACCGGGCTCGCTTAGTTAAATTTGCCGCCGACTGGTGTCGGAAACGTGCAGCGCACCGCAAGGCCTTTAGCGCTCTGGCATAGTAAAACGTTTCTGAAGGCCGTCTACTAAGCTAGTCGCTGGCACGCCCGACGCTTCTGACATCTGTCAGCGGCAGATTTAACTAGTGAACCCGGCCATGACATCTGCGAATGCCGCAGCAGATAGCCGAGACAAATTTCTCTTCTTTTTTTTTTCGAAAAAGGTATGCTTATACGTTATTCTAGCTTTATGGGTACACCACCTTGCCACAATTCAGCTGTAAGTCCCAGAGCGACACGTTGATTTTTTGCGGACTGTCCAAAGTGGGATCGGAGCATAACTGTAGGAAATGCTGTGGTAACGTTGGTTGGTTTTAACCGTAATTTGCCAAACCGCGAAGGCTACGGTCATAGTCAGTCAATAATCGCATCGGAGGGAGACACCGTGGCTTCCAAGTTAATTACACTCAAAGACGTTCGTTTGAACGCACTACATGAGAGGAGGGGAGGGAAGGGGGGATGAGAGCCTCTTTAGTATGAATTTGGGTGACAAGCTAACCTTCTGATGCAGGGTTCGGCAACCTTTTGCAGCGGCGGGCCGAGTAGTCACGCAGCAGACACGGAGGGGGCCCTATGACAAGTCGCAAAGGAAAAAAAGAGGGGGGTGGGGGGAGGGGGGGGGGGGGGGGGGGGCGAAGGGAGAGTGCTTATTCTGTCCCAGATTTATTATTTTTAAGGAACCCAAACTAGTGAACTGTCTGAGCGCTCATCTGCTTTTCAGTAAAATGTATATGCATCTCAGTGATAACAAACGAATGGAATTAAAAAAGGCAGTGAAAAGGTTCTCTGTTCAAGTAGCCCAATGGAAGAGCTTCTTGCTCCTGTGTAACCACATTTGAGGTCCAAACTTGTGTGCTGTTCTCGTGTCTAAGCAGCAAAGGAAGGAGGCGGCGACAGGTGATGCAGTTTCATATACGGTACGCGGGTTGCCGACCCCTCTTCTAGCGGATCGAAGTGACCGCTGGGACTCACAAAAGAGAGTCTGGGCAAGAAGGGAGGTGATCCTTTCCTTTTCCAACTGCTTGGCTTATGCTCTCGCCCCTGTAACATTAGAAAGGGCTGTCACGTGCTTTGACACCCTCACTCCGACAGGCAGAAGGGGGCTGCAGCGTTCACTCCTTGCCAAGTCACAGCGACAGGAAGTATATCAGCACCTATTTTATGGGTTTTCCAATTCATCACCACTGGGTGGAACAAGCCAGCCACACAAACTCCATGTTCCCGCTCAAGACTTTGTGGAACAGCTTTATTTAAATGCAGATATATAAACTTTGTAAGGTGACGGCCCACCTTGTGTAAATCAGGAGCAATTGCGGTGACCTCTGTGTAAGGTCTAACAATGTAACTGCAGCGCACGTGGGCGTCGTGAAGAGTAACAAAAAACGGAACGGCAACAGTTCTTGCATACAAACATTCTGAATGCAAACATCAATGTGCACACATTGAACAAGAAACACCCTTGTGGTAGAAATTTCATTCGGCAGGTATGGAGCAATAAGCATCCAGACAACTGAGAGACTGCGGAGTGGATGAAGCCAGGTTGTCGTGGTTCATGAGGCTTCGATGTCAAGCATTTTTGTTACCTTGACTTTTACACGACACTTGCAAAGAATCCTCATGTGAAATGTCTTCGTCAATGTGCCCAATCAGATAGGCTCTTACACTAAGGAACGATAACACGGTATGTCTGTATTGTGATTGTGATTTCCTACCACAACTGCAAGTGGCGACCTCGCAATAATTTCCCCGGAAATGCACATAAATCGCCACAGCTAAACAAATTAGCTTGCTAAAAACCGAAGCACGACTATGTAAAATAGAAACAAGTGGCCAATGTCTCTTTAGTCATATGGTTCAGAAGAAATGCTGAATCTACCACCAGGTCAAACCTGACTAGAATGCCCTCACATGTAAACAATGAATGCAGCATAACTCTACAAAAATACTCTGCATCCATCTTTGTGTTGGCAAACCTCCGCCTTATAACGCACTTTGGAGCTAATGAATCGCATGAAAAAGTGGCGACACTGAAAAAGTGAGTATATTTACAGCGACCACAGACAGAGCAGGAAGTAAAACAAATTTTTTCTCAACTCAACAAGAATGTCCTCTATACCCACCGTTTTTGTTTTTTTTTTGTGACTAAAATATTCAGTAGCCTAGAAACTGGAAGTGGCGTAAAAGGAATTCCTTGTGCACACAGTAACTTTAAAGGCAACGGTGCTAACATAATAGCTCAGAAGAAACCTAGGAATACAAGAAACCTCTGGTCAAAACAATAATAGTGGGCAACAGACAAGGCTTTGGTATATATAATGGAAGCCTATATTACTTTGAGCGCATCCACAAAAGCTGCCTTCAAACAGCGTGCATTCTCAACTGGGCCTGGGTGTGCAAGTTTGGCCGTATGTATCAGGGCCTCTTAGCCTTGCTCTCATGGGACAGTTCATGTAGCCACTTCAAGCTATTTGTTAAAAAAAAGGAAAACACCAAGCCAGGTTTGTGGGTACACTGCCAATTTGGAGTACAGCTTCCTAGTATCACTTTCACCTTCAATCTAAAGCTAATTGAACTGAATTTGGAACTGAACTGAACTTTATTTTCAGCAACATTATGCCGTGGATACCGGACAAAAAGCTACAAAGAGCTAGCTTTACTGGGTCTGGTGCCCTTGCACGTAGAGGAAATGCATGATTTAAAAACAATCTCATTTAGACATTCCTAAAATATATACAAAACAGCTCAACACATTTCATACAAATGCCTATCAAAACAATTAAGAACATTCCGATGAAATTCCCGCAAAACAAATATGTTTACCTAAACAAGGCAAAAAGTGCGCACCGCTTTTTTAGTTATACAATGAATATCAATGCGGTTCATGCAAAGGTTGTTGAGCAGTGTATGTAGGTTATGAGCAAGAGACTGCAGTGCATAATTTGTATGGAAATGAGTAACGTTCCAGAATTCTCTGTGACAAACATTGATGACTGATTCACGTTTAGTCAGATTTTTATATCCGTAAAAAAAGTAATATACTCCAAAGTTAAAAATGCGTAAGCAAATAACAAACGATAGTCATAAACACTGGAACTTTTCATGACGTTGTAGCTTAAAAAGAGTGCGTCGGGATGTGTGGAGTATTAAATATTTGCAATTAAACGAACCATATTTTTTTGAAGAATGATTAGTTTGTTGATATTAGTTTTTGCACTTGTGCCCCAGACTAAATGGAGCAGTTAATCTGCGAGCCAAAAAAAGCATGATATAATTTAATCTTATCTTTTGTAGGCGGAGGAGAGCGAGAGTGACCGATAATGCCAGCTACCTTTGCCACTTTGTAGGTTGAGAATTCTATATGATGATCTTATTACATATACTATAAAAAATACGTCTAGCGTTTTATGATGGCTTAATATTTCAATCTGGCTGCTACCAATTTTAAGTGCATAATTAGTATCAAGATGTTCCATTTACTGGTTTAAATACAATCGCTTTCGTTTTTGCCCTATTTATTTTAAGGTCGTTTTGTTCTGACCATAAAAAACGTCTCCAAGAGAGCATTAAATGTAATCATTAGCTTACCAAAATTTGTCGCAGTAATGAAAATAAATCATCTGCATACATTATGAAACGTGAGTGTTGACGGATGTTCACGATGCCATTAATATGCACATTAAACAGAAGTGGGCCAAGCATAACTGTCCTGTGAAACACCAGACTTCAATAATGGAAACGACAAAGTATAACCATTTACTAAGACACACTGCTTGCGATGTTTTAGGTATATATGAATAAGTCCTAAAGACTTGCATCATGGACCATAATATTAAAGTTTATTAATGAGCGTTGTATGCTTAAGGGAATCGAAAGCTTTGCTAAAGTCAAGAAAATATCCCAGTGTCAACTCTCTTTGTTTTATAGTTCTTAGTATTGGTCTATATTAGTCTACAGAGATATATCTCTTAATATCAGTTTTTTTTTAGATAACAAAGCCTATTCTGTGGACTTCTCCTTCCGGAGACCGAACTGAAAGTCAGTTACCATTGAATGTTTACAAAATAAGTCGTATAAACCGCAACATATTTTTTCTAGCCCCTGCGAAAATATAGATAGTAGATATATTGGCCTATACTTTGTACCTACAGTTTTATCACCTCATTAATGCAAACAGAAACGTTTGCGAGTTTAATGGTATATGGGAACTTGCCAGTTGACAAGGTAAAGTTAAATAAGTTTACTAACACTGATGCAGTTACATCAATCACAATTCTATGGGAATCAATGAATTTTGAATGAGCAGCTTTGTATGGTACTTTTTTAGTCTTCGTTAAGACATTAAGAACAGTAAAGTTATATTCTACATCATGTGCGTAGTTGACGCGAGCCAGATGTGTCCCGATTTAGCAAATAATGTTGAGCAAGTCTATCTTGGAGGAGCAGAGCAGTTCACCGGGCTAGTAACACCTGTACCAAGCTAGGCCCAACAATTGAACATCTCACATACATTAGAGTTTGTTCCTTGTCCCGGTGCAAGACCCAACACCCGGCTCCAGGCCTAACACCCGACGCCAGGCCTAAGTCCCGACGCCAGACGTATGTTCCGACGCAACATTTATGGCCAGATGCTAGCCTAATAACACCAGGCAGTGGACCTCAAGGCAGCAGACCAGACAGCAGACAAGAAGAAACACCTTTTGAGTGACTGTCTAGCCTTTACACCCTAGCTGGTGCAAAGGACCAATTCCAAAAGCCAAGTCAATCTCAGACCAATATACCCACAAATATCACAAACCCACAAATATCCCTCATCCTAGAAAAAAGGTGCGAAAATAAGAGTCCCAGACGACAGAATGGGAGGGGGGGGGGGGAGGGGGGGAGGGGGGGGGGGCGGGGGGTCAGCTACAATAACTAAGCAGTAAAACAACAACAAAAAAGGTAACCAGACGGGTTCGGGCTTTTCACACAAGGCTTGTCTTGGAGTCCGAGAAGCGCTGGGGTGCCGGGACAACGGGACTGTAGCTCATAGGTGGCACATAGGTGCCAGGGTAGAGAGACTGAGCCGCAGGCACCATACTAATGGCCGACTTGTTTGCAGCATTTGTCAGCTGCTTGTAGAAGGACAGCACCACCACAAAGAAGTAGCACTAGAAATGAAAATATTTTTTGTTATAACCATCAGCCGGCTACTGCAACGATCCTAGGAACATGGTATTTTTTGATATGAAGGTCTTTAACATAATTGCGTATCGAAATTCCCAAAACCCTTCTAGGTCCCCCCTGATCAATAGACCCTTTTCAAAACTGTTATGTGTTTCATAGATTATGTGCCGCCGCCATCAGTTGGCCATACATTGTGAGCACGCATTGGAGAGGATCGCTTCAACAGCATTCGGAGTGTACTGGGATCAAAACGCAGTCCACACGGGCGCTGCACCAGTGTTTGGCGCAAACTCGGAACCACGGATCTCTATGGCAATTGCTGGCTCGCGCATCCCGGCTTGTTCGCTGCAGTGCAAGTAAAGCCACCGGACGGCCATCTTGCATGTAAAATAAATTGCGTTCTTGGAGCGTTGGAGAGGCTGGAGGCAGCGTGCTAAAAGACACGTTTTCTACTCGCTCGTCGTGATTCGCCGAAGAAGTTTTTTAAAACCCTGCGTAAGCTGTGAGACTTGCTGTTGAGAACACGTGGAAATTTTTACGGAAGCGCAGTGCCGCAGGAAAAAGACACAAACCGTCGAAAGCAAATTTCACCGGTATCGCGGCGTGATGAAAGCTTCCTTTGCACGCCGAAGTGCTGCGTCTCTGTGCCTTCGCACGCTTGGATACCGATCAAGAACCGACACCGTGTGTCGGTTCTTGATCATTCATTCATTCATTAAATCAATCAATCAATCTTTTTTACATCATCATCATCTAATGTGATGTGGGCTGCAGAGGCAAAAAGTCAAAACAGTTTTGACTTGACAAGGCCTCTGCAGCCCTACAATTGGCGTACGGTAACAAAACAACAGCAACCAAGGAAATCCAAACAACTTTGACATGGGAAAAGAAAACACTTATATGATAAATACTTATATACTGTATTTTGCTGCTCGAGGAAAAATTTTGTCCTTATACACAAAGAACGACGGCATCTAGTGACTGGATGTATACATGAAACAAAATATACACAACGGATGGATTTACAGATCACAAGGACAATTTACTTTTTATTTGTGAAAACAAAGTTCTAGAATTTTATTTAGATGTAGGTTTTCAATGTTTGACAAGTTATGTTTTTCCACTTTATCTAAGGCAGACTTAAGATTATAACTTAACATGTGAAACCCATAGTTCGTGCGATTTAATGGAATTTTCCAGCGCTCCCTTTCCCTAACGTCATAAGGTTTGGAAATGGAAGTTAAATTTGAAATACAAGTAAAAAAATGGTTCATTACATCGAAGGGCTGATCTATATCATGTGAGGAGAATATAATCATATGAATCAAGAATAGATGTTAAATGCAGCTCTTTAAATAGAGGAGGAGTGTGTGTGTCAAAAGACACAATTCGCATTATGCGAACAGTCTTTTTTTTTTTAAGGATATGTAAATTATTTAGATTGGACAGGGTTGTAGTGGTCCATACCAAGCTAGATTAATTTAAAGTAGGTACAAAAAGAGCTTCATATATAAGCAATTTTAAACGACAAGGCAGTATATTTTTAAACTGGTACAATTTGCCAAGCGCTTTTGAAAGCGTTCTTAGCTATCTTGATAATGTGATCATTCCGAGACATGGGGTTGTTAAAATAAACTTAACCTACTTTCTTGCACTTGAAGTTTGAGCGCGGCTCGCCTAATTGCGATTGGTCAACAGATAGCACACGACTCTACGGGCCGCGCTTCAAAAATTTTCATTCTCGCCGTCTTGTAGTTTTGCCTTCGAAAACCCTCTTTGCTCCACAGCGTTGCTCTATTGGCGCTGCCATGTGACCCATTAGAGTAAGTTTAGAACATAGCCATGGTTAATAGTGCACAGGAACAATCGCTGGAACAGCTGTACGATCCAGAACCCCTTGGCCGATATACGATGTAAAGACATCTACGCGCGACACACCTTCAAAACTTAGCCGCCGCGTCGATTCTTGATCGGTATCCAAGCGTGCGCAGGCACAGACACGCAGCACTTCTGCGTGACAACGAAGCTTTGATCACGCCCGGTGAAACTTGCTTTCGACGAGTTGTGCCTTTTTCCTGTGGCACTGCGCTCCCGTAAAAGTTCCACGTGTTTTCAACCGCGAGTCTCACGGCTTACAAAGGGTTTTAAAAAAACGTCTTTGGCGAATGACGAAGAACGAGTAGAAAACGTGTCTTTAGCACGCTGCCGCCTGCCTCCGCAACACTTCAAAAACGCGATTTTTCGATATGCAAGATGGCCATCCGGTGGCTTCACTCGCGGGAGCGGGAAGCGCGATCCAGCAATTGTCATAGAGATCAGTGCTCGGAAAAAATAACGGGCTTCACGCCGGAAGCGATGAGACCAACTAATGGCGGCGGCGCATAATCTATGCATCATCTCACAATTTCAGAAAGGATCCATCGAAAGAGAAAAAAAAGAAGGCGTGAAACTAGAAATATATTAACTAATGTGGTACTGCACTAACAGAAAACATGCATAAGTAGCAAGATGCATTCTACCTTAGGGCACAAAATGTTCGTTAAAGCCGGCATCGTTCGCCCAAGAATGAATTGGAAAGGTTGGTGGTCCGCTGTACTAATTTTATGCAACATCCTGGCTTTCTTTTTTTTATTTATCAGCTGAGCAGATTTTTAAGGTGCTCGTGGGTATGTTTCTTCACTCCCACTATTTCAATACTATAGAAAATTCTCCGATGGTTCCTCGTTTCTTCAGACGCTGCCGAGATTGACCCTGCTGTCTTCAAGACAATGCTAGATATTATTTAGGAATATTGAGCGGATGCTTACTCAGTGTTTTAAGGTAAATAGGGTTTCGGGGTATTTAAGTTTATTTTAGTGAAATTTGAAGGTCATCACTCCAGGTTTAGCTTTGGAAACTTGGCATTTATAGGAGTCACGTTTTGTAGTTTTCATAATTCTTCCAACTTGTGACTAAAGAAGAATAATAATATTGCACACAAATACACCGAAAGATGCAAAACGTGATTCCTACTGCGAATTTTATTTCCATAAAATATGTTAACAAAAATCAAGTGGGTGTGCAGAGCAGCTGAGTTTAAGGAGCTCCTTTTCCAATGTCCTTCTTCTACTAAGTGCCCCATCTTTTACCTCAGTCTCAGGTAATTCTTAACATAATAAAACATCTGGTATCTGGATTGATTCCATCTTTATTAAGATGCTACCACCTCCTTCCCATAAGAGGCCGAGGTGCTACAATGGTCTAAACTCGAAACCAGAACAGTGGCTAGGACAATTTCACATACTTCAAGTGCCTTCTATTGTCTTGAGCTGATGCTGAATTGTCCCTTCGTAAAGGGTACACTCTAAACGTTCCTAATATAAACGGCTGCGTAACGCCGATGGGACTGGGCGACAGCGTGAGTGCCTGACAAACTTTGCCCCCCTCTCTTACAGCTATGGTGCATGAAATGAGTCTAACTGGTGTGTTTACTCCGCCCTAAACAGTGGTCCCTCGAATTCTGCCCGATGACATTATGCAGCTGTCAAGCCACCATCCTGGCGGCGTCACTGTTCCGAATACTATGGATGTGGCCGACGCTTTTTATGCTGCAGGTCGCTCTCAAGCCTGACAGTGCACATAAATTTTGTAAGCCAAGAGTTGGGACGTCCCGACGACAGCAACACTTCCGCTCCTCGTGCTTTTTTTTTTCTAGAAGATTTGCGATTAACCGCCAGAATCACGTCACCTGACATCATGACACTCCGGCTCTTGTGATGCCCTATGTTCCACTCTGGGAACACTTTTGAAGCATGAACGCAATGGCGGAAAAAAAGGCTAAACACCAGTCGGAGAGTCATTCCAGACACTGTACTACAGCTTTCCGAGACAGATGTTTCATCCAGTCACGGAGAAACACTCACCCCAATGCACAACGAGACAAAGAGAGAGCAGATGATTCCAAGAACCTGGCTGCCATCCTGCAATCCAAGCAGAAATGTTGCGGAACAATTGAGTGAAACAGGCTTGGCAGACACAATTCAGTGTGCATGATGGCATGGATCTGTAAGAAGTGAAAGTGGGGAGAAAATAGGGATAAAGACCAGCACATGTCAGCCTTCTCCCCTATTTACTTCCGTGCTTTCATTTCATGGAGTTCGTAATACAATAACGGGGTCATCAAAGGAACACTGACAGGGTATTTATGCTCGCCAAGCTTTTATTTGTAGATGATATATCCGAGCCCAACTACACACTACAGAAATTTCGGCTCGTAATTCGTTGTCTTTCCGCCTGAAAACTGCCGATCCAGAACTGGCCGTTTTGAGTCGCGCTCACTCCCTTCTCCGTGATCACGTGCCGTTCTCTATGGTCATCGCACTGGCCATCGCTCTGGGCCCTGGCAACACACGCACCAAAATATAACAAAAAAATGTGGGTTACCGAACGCACTGACTCGATATTAAAGATATAAAAAAATATGATACGCGTTTTTTTGTGGCTTCTAAGAAACTGCAAAAAAGTTGATCGAAAAAAAAGAAAAGAAGTTGCACAGAAAACCTGAAAGACTTTGCGCCCCCTCAGCGTAATTCTCAACACGGCGTCGTATTGCGAGGGTCGCTGGCTCGACGGCTGAACAAAGATGTCTAAGCGAAAGCGGCGGTCAGCGGGCGTAGGACCTCTACTTCAGAACTGTTTTTCGTGGTACCGGTGAGTCTGTCTAGCTTCGAAAGAAAAATTTCTTACCGATCAAAACAATTTGGATTTATTCCGTACGACACGCCCGAACACTAAGGTGATTCGCACGAAGACGTCGCCGAGTCGCCGCCCCTTGTTTTGGCTGAAGACCTTGCTTGTTTTACGAAGAGGAATCGGTAAAATTTAAAAAAAAAAAGCGAAAATTTCGTTTCTGTGCAAAGTGCGACGTGCACGTTTTTTGCCTCCTTCAAACAGAAAAAAAAAAAAGAAAATGCGCTTGAGTGTAGTTAAGTGATTTCGAGCAACTATCGCCTCCTCTACATCTCTTTTTTCTTCCCAGTCCAGTTTTAGTTTCCAGCAGATTCGTTTTACAGCGGAGCTGTTAAGGGCTAGTGTCCCCAGTTTCGTGTCCGGTACCAAACAAATGTCGACATAAAACTACACAAAACTCTGGACAGCTACCACCACCTATGAGCGACAGCGGCAGCCAGACAACCAGTCTGGTTGCCGCTGTCGCTCATAGATGGTGGCAACCTTTCCAGCCATCATAGAAGAATCGATAGTTGGGCGAGTAGGTGGGAATTCATCGCAGAAAACAGCGGGAAAAACAGACGAGGACATAGAAGAAACACACGGAACGAGCGCTGGTCTTCCTTCTTCAACAAAGTGAAGAGGATAAATTTTTTTTCTAGCTCGATTAAAATATATTTGCCGCTGTAGCAAGATATTGATTGGGTAGTCTTCTAAGATCATATGAAATCACCTGGCAAAAAAAGAAAACAAGCATGGGAGTGGTTATGTCAGTATCGCTTTAAAAACAAAAACTCTGGCGTTGTTTTGTTTTTACATGTTTAATTTAAACACACTTTTGGAATACTCAGGCTTTACAGCTTAGGTAATGCTATTTATTATCTCATAAATAAAGATAGCTGTTGCAAAAATAGAAAATTAAAAAGGCCAGGGAGCGATCTTTTTACATTCACTAAATAGTACTCAAAATCCCTCCTAACGTTAATAACCGAACAAACTGGCCTAAGTTTTTCTTTCTGAGCAATGGCAGTCGGTAAATATACTCGAAAAATATAACCATCACTCATCGATCCTCAACTCAGAGACGCAACAAATGGCCACATGACCTGGTGCCTGTCCTATTCCGCCAACGTTAATCATATACCCACGCGCTGGGGTCGGCGAAGTAGAAAACGCGTGCAAAGCTCCATACATTGTTAGAGCTCAGCTATTCTCATCACCGCAGTCGGACACGAGCCACTACCCGAATGTCCACCGAGGCATTGATTGTTACGAGCCGAAGTCGAGTGCTCGAGCGATTAATCGTATCATCCGTGAGCCGAGCTCGACTGTCGTCAGACGGGTGGTTTCGATCCCATGATTACGTCATCAAGCCTTGCGAAGGCAAGAATGAAAGAAACATACCCCTTTTATCCATGAGATTTCACCGGGACCAAGAAGCTTCTGAATGAGGGGTGGTTCGTGCGAGGATACTTGGGACAGACAAGGATCTGTACGCCTTTGTAAAAGCATGAACATTCCAACCCGATATCGTATTTTGACCCCTTTAAGGTTATGCCAAGACCAACATTCAAATTTTCCCTCGCTCTCCGGAGGAAAGTCGTCACAGTGTGTATAACTTTCAAGTCAAGAAGACAGTCCAAAAACTGCAGCATTTCTCGCAAGAACAACTTCATCAATGGCACACTTGACAGAGCCAAGGCTACAAGCAGCACGTTGTGAGTGGGCCATCGCCTGGCAAGTGCACTCTGGCCGACCAGATATTCAATGGCCCAAGCTGTGGTGACTGGCCATTCACTTTCGGTCAGTCACTTTTGACCAGCCACTGGCCATTCACTTTTGACCAACCAGTGGCCATTCAGCTTTGGCCTGTCACTGGTCAATCACGTTCGGTCAGGCATTGGCCATTCACTTTGGGCCAGTCACTGGCCATCAAGGGTGTAGCCAGGGGAGGGGGGGGGGGGGGGGTTCTAGGGTCAGAATATTCCACGGCATAATGTCCAACGAGACGAAATGTCCAACGGATAAAAATGTCTCATAACAGACATTTCGACTCCATGGACGTTTCATCTGGTTGGACATTCTGACCTGGTTGAACATCTCGTCTCGCTGGACGTTTTGACTCCTTGGACATTTTGACCTAATTGGACATTTCGACTGGGTGAACGTTTTAACCCGATGAATATTTCCATCCCTTGAAAATCTTGTATCGTTGACCCAGACTTTGACACTGCGTGGTGTTCAGACAGACGACTTTAGATATTCCGAATACTTACATGCGCCCTGGGTCTTCGTTAGAGCAGTATTAATGTTAAATTTTAACAAAAAAATAAAACAACACAAACAAAAAAAAAAAAAAAAAAAAAACGAAGGACAAGAAGGTTAGGTGTATCCACGGACAAGAGGGTTAGGTGTACCCACACAGCGCTGTTTTATGTGACCACTTGGGGAAATTTGACTATCTTTTGTTTTGGGGAGAACACAGTATTTTCAATTCGCGAAAATAAAACCTAATATACGTTGCGGAAGCTAGAAGTCCACTACAATTTAACCCTAGCGGTTGGAAGAAAATGGCAAATTCCAGATTACTTTTCTAATTAAAAGGTTGGGGGTGATTTTTTTTTTTTTTTCAATGAACAAATGAGGCTTGTTTCCGGTAACTGACGCTATTCATCTTCATGTATTTGCGGGCTTTGTTGACTACCGTTTCAGCACTCAAAATTTCCGAGCATTCCCTAAAATGAATCTTCCATTTGCAACCCATGGCCCCGTCACGTTCTCGTGCGGGCGAAGACATTTGCCGAATTTTTGCCTAATCTTTGCCGAACTTTCCTTCAAACGTTCGGCATGTGCCGAACTTTGCCGAATCTGAAGTTCGGCACATTCGGTCTATCGCTACTGAAAATCAACACTCTTGGCCAGACCCTTGCCGGCCCTGTTTTTGTCTCCGGCAGCGAAGCTGAAAACAGATAGTTACTGGCCGGACCCTTGCCGGTCGTGTATATAATTATGTGGCCAAGAACTTGCCAGTGGTGAAGCTGTCCGGATACTGGCCAACCGTTCGACGATCGAAGGTGACCTTTGGGTGCTGCTCGGGACGGTGCTGATCATGATGAAAAAAAGGATCGCCAGGACCACGAGGACCATAGCATGAAACACCAGGTAAGGCAGGATGTAGAGTCGCTCATCCTACGAGGATAAAAATCAACAAAACATAAAACATAAAGCAATAAAGTTTCCTTTTTTTTGTACTGGGCCTGCTCTCTCAGGGTTATTCCTATAGTCATATGAGTTTAAAGGGAAACTGAAACGGTTTTGTATTTGAGTAAAAACACATAAATCGTCTTCATTTGGCCTCCAGGATCACGAATATCAAGATTATTTTTTTAATTTAGCGCACGAAGTCTGCAGAAAATCACTTTTAAAGTACCGCTGAAGCCCCTCCTTCCCGGAGCGTGACGTCATATCCGAAGATTTCGGAATCTGCACTCTCGCGCATCTTCAGCGGCCATCAAAGCTATGCACGCGCATAATTGCTATTTTCAAAAAGGTAAAAAAAAGAAGACCTCACAACTGGTGTCAGTGTGGGGAATTCTTACGCCTGACAAAGTTTGCAGTTGCACGCGCTGCCCACACGACCGACATGGGCTTGGCGGCCGAAAGATCCTTTTAGGGCGTAACGACTGGTTTGAGGTTTTCCGTGTTTTCTCGCGATTAGTTGCATCTTCTATACTTCGTTTCAGCTTCCGTCCGAGCGCAGCCAAAGGCTGAGGGACGGTTCGCAACTTCGAGAAGAGCATTCCTACGCACCACAAAGTAGTTCACAAAAGTAATTTCTTTTAAAATAGCTGCTTTGTGCGTACAAACTGCACAATGTTCCAGATGTGTACTGCTGAGAATGATTTGCAACTAAAGGAATCAAATCTTTGAAGTTTATTATTTTATTAATATACGTAAATGCATGTGGTTTGGTGAAAACATGTATATCCGCTGGCAACACGGCTGCAGCGCTCGGTTTTTCTGTGTGATTTCGTTCCCGTAATCGCCGAATCATGTGCTTCGCTGCTTTCCTCACCGAGTCGCTTCAAAACGTCCTTTCGCAAAGGCACCTTTGGGCGTCAGGCGCGAGAAGTCGTGATGAATGTCTACTTTCAAATTCGGCAGGAGACTCCGGCCGCGTCGTACCGACGCGTTGTAAACAAGCAAAACGTTCGGGCCACTGCAATTCAGATACACGGCGAAATCAGGGAACCCCTTTACCTGCCGATCACATTGAACGCCGAGAAGCTGGTGGAAAGGACTGCGCCTCGATCCCTGGTATATCCAAACAATACAAGGAAACATCAACGGCCGGGTCATCGGGGACCTTGCAACGTGTACTTACAACTCGAAACTACGCCGAACAGGTGGAAAGCTCGGACACAGATGCCAGCGGCCAGCCTACGTACTGACATCGCCTGTGACTAAGTTTCAGAACGTGAAAGGGCACTTTTTAATCCTGTAGCAGACGATATCGTTGATACACCCGTAGCAGACGAAATACTCGGCGAGCGCGGGCGGCGCGGCCGACCGGCGGCGCAGCGGAGTGATACAAAAGTGCAGGCGAGATCGCGTGACCTATTGCCGGCATGTGATTGGCTCCGGCCGCACGTAGCTTTGGCTGCGCTCGGACGGAAGCTGAAACGAAGTTTTTTTTTTATAGGAAAACGGACGTGATATTAAAATTCACGGGATAAAAATACTCTAAAATTCACCTCTAACTTGTTTCTTTTGTTTGTAAATAACCTTTTCATCTTTCCTTCAAATAGATAATACCAATAGCTCCGGTAACTATGGCTGGGCAATTGATCGATTAACCTATCGATTAATAATTTATTTCTTTATCGTGGTTAATATTTCTAACCGGTTAATTGGTACAATATTGACGAACCAAAGGAACGTTAAAACCCTTTCAATGCGAAGAGGCAGATGAGTACACCCGTAAGAAGTGCAAACTTTAGATAAACTGTTACCCTAAAGTAAACTGTAGACCCGATAACTGTAGCTCCAAACAAGCGCAGGAGATTACACGTGACCCGGCCACTTCAATGCCGTGCCAAGCGTCCGTTTACTTCAGCGAAGACTATTGCGAATAGCAATCAAAGGAGATTAATCTTCCCGGAAAATATCGACGAAACCCTTTGCTTCATGCAGCTGGAGTAATAATCTGCGAGTGTGAGTGTCTTTGAACTGTACTCAACTACACATCGAGGTTGATTCGTAATCAAAATTCTTTATTGCTTGTTTATCACATATTCAACAAAAATAAATTTAGTTCTGACTTTTAAACAAGTATTACAGGCATGGAAATGAACGAGATCGATTAATCAAATAATTATTCGAACAAAGGGTGGCGATTAACTTGGTTATAAGCTTAATCAATGCCCAGCCTTATCGGTTACGAGACCCAATCATTTTAGTTACCCTCTGTCCTGTCTAGGGACCCTAAGGGTCGCGCTTCATCTAGACCGAAAAGAGTCCAAAGGCTTGAAGTGAAAATAAATTCGTAGCTGCGCTTGAGATGCTGGTATCGCGTCTTTCATTTTCTCTTGCTTCCCTTTGTAGGATGTTTTGCAGTAATGAAGTTCAAAGTAGTTGTCCGAGGATTCTATTGTTGTGGTCTTTTCGCGTGTGCAATTTTTAGTACTACATAATATTCTTGGAAGAGGGGGGATGTTTTGTGGCTGGTGGATTTTACTTTGTGGATTCATAAAAAAGGCGACTGAATAAACTCCCTCACTGAAGCAGAACAGAGGCGTGTCTTTTGAACGCCTAACCTCCAGCGCGCACTCCATGACTTCCGCTGTGCTTTGGTTGTGCAAGCACGCTCGAGGTTCAAAAGATGCCTATGCGTTTTCAAAGGTAGGAAAATCACACTGGATAAGGGACAACTGAAGCTCCCTCCTCCATGCGGTTCTCACCTTGTCAGCGACTGCAGCAAATTATGAGATGTCAGTCCCTCTTTTTTTTTTCTCTCTCTTTGCCCCTTCAACCTTTTTTTAATAGCATCCCAGTTTTGAGTTATTGCCATCATCATTTGATGAAAAGCTTGTATCGCAAGATGCGACTGGCAAATCCGAAAGCTTGACTACCAAAGCTTTCTAGAATTCTTTGTTTTCTCGGTACAGTCACGTCCCGTTAATATGAACCTCGTTAATATCGATACTCCGCTATATGTACACCATTTTCGACGACAAACTGAGAAAATACAAATCCCGAAGAAAAGCTCACCAGAGACAGGCTCACCGGAGATTAGCTCACCAGAGAAAAGCTCACCCACTTTTGTGCGGGGCCGGAGAAAAGCTTACCAGTCTTTGGATAGACCCGAAGAAAAGCTCCCCTTGAAGTAAATTATCATGTAAAGCGCTAGTCATCATTTAATAGCAGTAGCGCTACCAAGGCTTTAGGCGTCTCTCACGCAGGCGCAACACCGTGCAACAGAGTTAGAGCAAAGCGATTTTTTTTGCATTTTTCTTGGAAAATGGGTTGATCAGCCTGAATCTTTTTTCGCAGAAGTGTGTGCCTCGAATGAGAAATTTTCACCACACTAAAAGTTTTAATGGTAACCACTAAAATGTAAAAATAAATAAAGTTAATCGTTTGTTTATGTTGACAGTGTCACGCAGGGTCAGACTTGTGCCCGTCACTTGAAAAATGTAATTTATTACAATCACAAATTACCGAGCCTCAAGTGAATTGCCGTTACAAATTATTTTCGCTGAAAATCAACAGATTACGTTACTCGCTACATCACGAATTATTTTCACGTTACTTTTCCCATACACTTGTCAAGAAAACAATAAAATTTTTTTGTTGTTTTCAAAGAAAAAAAAAGTTCTGTAACATTACCTTTCCTTTCCCATACTGCCGCATTTAGTAGACGTTGTAAAAATAAAGTATTGTATTTAAGAGAGAGAATGTAGGTGAACTCCGTTTGCCTGTAAGCTGACAAGGAAGCGAAAGCTGCTACCAAACTTGCCCTCCCGCGAGATTACGGCGTCCGGAAATGATCCCTGGAATGCTGCAGACAAAGCTAGCGGTGCGCATGCTCAGTAGCAGCGTCTACCTCCACTAGGAAATCGAGAACCCAACACCATAGCGCCTATTCGGCGCGGTCTTCTTGATCTTTGTTTTTTCGGACATTTGCAAATGCCAATAATCTATGGAGAAGGGGACAAAGTACAAACACGCATCTCCAAACAGAGCTAGGTGGCTGGGACGCGACTGAAAAAATCCCGCCTGGTCCTGGTATCGAACCAGGGACCACCCCATTTCTACTGCAGCGTTCTACCAACTGAGCTATAAACTAGGAGTTAGAGGTCAGTTGAGCAAACGAACTTTAACAGCTGCCACCAATGTAACACCAACAACAGTGAACGTCTTGTATTTTAAGATTAGGATGATAATGCAATTAGTGTGGAGGTGAGAGCGAGCTGAACGAGAATAACGATAATAATCCCTGGAGAATGGTTACGAGAGGGGCAAAAGAACAAATCTCCAAACACAGATAGGCGACTGGTGCGCGACAGAAACGATCTGCTTGGTGCTGGTATCGAACCAGGGACCTCTCCATTTCTAGCCAAGAGCTCTACCAACTGAAATAACCAGAAGTTAGACGTTAGTAGAGCATATGCCTTACACGTTTTCTAGTGGTTCCAGTGACCGATCGTAGGAAAAATCGTGCTTCCTTTTCTGTTATTCTGCTCTTCAGAATGTTTTCTATATTTTTGAACTTGCTATCTTTATGCTGATGAAATGCCCGCTCATATTGCTCCAGTTACTGTATTATGCTCATATCTTTTAAAAAAGTAACCAGCAATTAAAGTAATCCGCTACCAATATTTGTTAAGAAATTACATTACAAATTACTTCCCTGAAAAGTGACATGGCAAATACAAAATTACTTGAAAAAGTAAAGGGTTACTTTCCAAGTCTGCGCAGAGTACACACTTCACATCTGGTCGCTCTTCAGTAAGCGAAATAGAATTTTGTTTTTAAATATATACAGTATATTTTTTTCAGTCCGATTTATTTGATTGAAGTCAGACCACTCTAGCTAGAAAATATTGTATGTTTATTACAATATGCATTTTTAAACACGGCAGGTTGTTTGTCCTATTCTTCCGATCAGTGGAAACACTGTGGGGAAAAAAATTACTGATATTTAAACGACTTTTCGAACGTGAAAGTCCCGCCATACTACATCAACAACGTTTTTTTTTTTTTTTTTTCTTTTTTTTTTTTTTTTTTTTTTTTTTTTGCCAAATGAACATAGTTTTTTTTTAATTGTCGTTCCGTATTTAGCGTTCTGATTTAATTTCAAAAAGGATGTGACCTAACTGATGAACGAAGTCGAAGGTACAATAAAGCTCAACGCATCTATATGACCTGAAGACCACTGCTTTTTGCTCGAGTTCAGTCCTATATAAATATTTCTTAAGTCGGCGGTTCTAAACCCTTGATGTTTCGCGGACCCCCTGTGGATCTGCGGAGATCATGGAGGGCCCCGTTCGTGGAGAGGGGAAGGGACCTATATAGGTTAATTATGATAGCGATTTATTAAATACATATAACTGAGGGCTAGTGTGAAGTAGACTTCACTTATTGACATATACACAAGAAACTCGCCCGAAAATTGGAACGTTTCTTCTCAATCTGAAAGGAAAGACAGCTTTTATTGCCGGGCTTGACAGATGAAGCTGGGCTTCGCGGACCCCCATTTCAGAACCACTGTCTTAAGTGATAGTTATTTTATATAAATAAAACAAATATATGGCCATATCAAAATATGAAATGATAAAAAAAAAATTTTTCGCATTATTGTTGCGGGCAAGATTTGATTTAAATTATCCCAGTAAATTCGTCCGATTTAAATCAGGATTTAATCAAGATTTTCATTCTCCACCCTGGCTGTAGTCCTCGTTCCGCGTTTATGTCAATCCGTTGCGCTTGTTACCATATTTATTTCTGCCGTTGCCGGGATAGAGGAAATACGACCTTTTTTATATACTTCGTTCGAAATTGAAACTACTGGTTTGCCAGTGCGGTATCGATATACTACATAGAACGTCATTTCATAAATTAATACCCAGAAACTGCTCATGCTGCAGCCCTTAGGACTGGTTAGAGTTCCACCCGTCATTTTTTTTTTTTTTTAATTAGCGTTTCATTAAAATTTTTTATTTCATTTTCATCGGGCAACGCTTGGCGTGTTTACAGGATGTTTTTATATTTTAAAATATATATTCTGCTAGTGAAGTGCAGAATGATCGGATGCGCTTAAGGCATCCCAGCATATACTTAGTGAACGTATTTCACTTGAGCGAAGGCTCGATTCTTAAATTCGTACGTGAGCTTTTCTCCACATCCGTCAAAAGGCCAGTGAGCTTTTCTCTGCATCCGACAAAAGGCCGGTGAGCTTTTCTCCGCATCGGACAGTGCGGTGAGCTCTTTGGTGAGCTTGTCACCGGTAAGTTTTTCTCCGCCGCCCGAAAAGACTTGCATTTCGGTCTCTTTATTATAGAAACCTCGCATAATGTACAATTTTTTGGAGAACCAAAGTGTCCATGTTAACAAGACATCGCTTATCTGTCAGGTGGAAAAAGAAGAAGCCCCTTCTCTTACGAACTACACGGGGCAAGAGCGGTCCCAACGGGCACACAACTGCAAACTTAACAATTATTTTTGTTTTCCCTTTGCACTGTCACTTTCTGCACATGCTTGAAAAAATAAGATTTAGAATGTCCCTCATCGTGGCGAGACGCGGAGTTTCAACACCTCATACTAATTATAGCCCTAATTCACTAAACTATGCTATTGAAAAGGAAGCAAATAATGTGAAATCATATAGTCTTAGAGACAGCGTAATTTTCAACCTGTCGATTGAGGTGTCACGTTTAAATGGTGAAATCGTTTTCTTTATTAAAGGTTTACACGTATATGCGAGCAATCATCTGTGCAGTGGTGCTTCTGTTTGTATTTTTAATTTCAATATGTTTTTACAATGTTGTTTTTCGTCAAAATGAGTTGGGCATCAGCAGCTGAGTTTTTACTCCAGACGTTTTCTATTTTTGAAACCCCCTTCAAAAAGGGAAATAAAGGGGCTTATCATAGTTATTACTATTATTATGAAATCTGCCTTTCTTGAAGCTCAAAGGTCAAAGAGCAGGAAAGGGGCGCCTTACCGTGAAAGCACCCCTGACACAGAGGATGGCCACGATGAGCCCGATGGCGCAGATGACGGTGTAAGCGAGGACCCTGCCAAATGCGGCTGCAGAGAATGCAACGAGCATGTCAGCACAACCTAAAAAGTAATTCTGATACGTGTTTGTTGAGAAAATAGGAGTTAGCCAGCCCCAGTGGGTGTCTGGTGTCTTTGCTGTAGGTAGTAAATTTAGACAGTGCAGCACCACTGCTGTCCTGGGGTCTTTAACGCGCATCCCGCAGTAGTGATACGTGACTACATGCCGGAATGATACTCGTCCAGATCAAAACGGGCAAAGGTGGGGATTGAACGCAGGATCCCTGGGTTCTGCAGAGCAAACTTTGACTCCGCTTGCCCTCGAGCTGCGTTGCGTTAACGAGCTCGTACACCGGTGCCCCGGCACAACCCGCCTTGACGGGCAGGCCCGTAAAGATATTTATAGAAGCGCGATTCATAAGGAACCAACAATTAAGAAAACGCACCTGCGACGTAAAATCTGACTTTTCTCTTTCGCACGAAAATCGCTGGCCTAGAATCCAGTGCTCAGGGCTTTGCTCACTGTCGCTTTCATAGTCATGTGTGAAGACGACACACAAATTCAAATATGCTAACCAATACCCATTTATATAACATCTGAAACGCTACAAAGGCCACACAATATCCAAGTGAATTCTAATAACTCTCAGCATCTCTGACATTTGACTCGCCAAGTTTTCTTACCAATCCACCATTTTTGAAGTCATGGTTTCAGAGGTTGTGGTATGAAAGCACCTGTTTGTGTTCCTCCATGGATTCACGAGCGCCCAAGACAAACTTTTCAAGCGAGAGGCTCGTGCCAGCGCTCGTGGTGTGGACTGTGCATTCCCGGCCCGAACACCTCGAACTGGTGGTTTCCGGAGAAAGTGGATTATGGGACTCTGCGGCAGGAAGCTTGTTTGGGTAATATTTTTGACAACACGTACATTGTTTTGGCTGTCCCCCAAGGTTCTTGGCAAGAGGCTGTCACATGTTTCGCCTTTGTCGCTCCAATTAGCTGGAGGGGTCCGTCGCGTACTCTCTTTGCCAAGTTACGGCAAAACGAAATATAGTTCCTTTTACTTTTTACAAACACAGGCCGTCTCTTGCCGCCCCCAGATACTTCCAGCCGCGACGCTTCGGCAGGCTTCAGCGAGCCTTTTAATGTTAATGTTTCTGAGACAATGAAGTGCTACCGAAATCCCTCTGTAGAACTTGATTTTCTGTTGTCCTATCAAACAAATAAGACGGAATCGATCGTCTCGCAGGATCATTCAAAAATTTCCTACAAATCTCTCGCTAACCAATCCTTTAGCTAATCATTTGGTGAACTGGTCATACAATTATTTATGTAGGTCGCAAGAAGCGGTGCTATGGTGGGGTTGTTTGTCCTCGCTTGACCATATGTTCGCGGGAACATAACTTGCCAAAAGCGGCTCGTTCCGGCGAATTTAATAAGAGGGTCTATAGACCAATCTCGTCGTACGAGTGGAAGCAGGGGCGTGCTTACATTCCAAGTTCTTGACCTCGGGAAACTTGTCATAGGTCGCCAGATCATCCTTGTAGTTGACCGCCACCACGGCATAGCCTATGAGGCCACTCAGGGAGGCGATCTGGAACAAAAGAAAGGGAAAGGTCAACAACAGAGATCCCGGAAATCCCTAAAGCGACGTTGACACTGTTCATGCACGGTGTTTTGCAGCAGACTTAAGGCCCGTTCACACTCTTGCGACCGAGTTAGACCGAGGGCGATCAGACCAGTTTTTAAGCCTTTTGCGACTTTTTAGGACAGGATGCGATGCAGCGGAGCTGGTCCTAAGAAGTCGCAAGAGGCTTAAAAACCGGTCTGGTCTCTCTCGGTCGCAAGAGTGTGAACGGGCCTTAAATGACAGAATTACCTGCAGAAACGCCTTATGCATGCATACATCTGTTTGCTTTGAATATGTCTACAGGCCCTGAGCTAGGTACACTCAACGTGAACAGTTCGCATTCACAGGGCACGGAACTGTCATCTGTTTCCGTAAGCCATCGAGGCTATAAGGGTAGGGCACACTTAGGTAAATTACTGCAGACATTTCAAAGGACCGATCCATTTTAATAGAGCAAAAGAAAAATGAATTCTAAGAACTCCTATTTTGCCGTTAAATCCGTTGCGGTTTCACCATGCCGTTTAAGTCTGTCGGAATTTAAAAAAATTTATATTCATGACCATAAAACTGCTTCAACATGCTCAGGTGCGTGCACCATATGTCGTCGACAAAGGAAGATTTATGCCTACTTGTACCTGCATCCCAGAGAATATTTAAGGGGACACTGACACATTCCTCCCAAAAGATTTTTGTTTATTTTTTGCCAGACGGTTTAATAAGGTGTCAGAAGTATACCAAATCAATATTTTGCTACAGCGTCAGGTATATTTTTAATAAAGTAAAAAAATGCAACTGCTCGAAACCGAAACAAAACTGGGAACGAAGAAAAAATGGGGAGAAGTAGAGTTGCCGGAAGTCACGTGGTCATCCGACCGCTTTTGCTTCTTGTGTTTTGTCACGTAACCATCCGACCGCGTTTGCCTTTTTTTTTGCCGGTCGTGCGAAGCAGACGAAAAATGCGCATGACGCATATTGCACGAAAAATAAAAAAGCAAGCATTTCGTGCTTGACATTCGTACGTTTTTCATGCTCCACCAATTCGTGTTCGTAAGACGAGCGATGTTTTTAGCCCGAGGAAGGAGCGACGACTCGGCGAGGTCTTCGTGCGAATCAGCTTGGTGGTCGGGCGTGTCGTACAAAATAAATCCTAATTGTTTTGATCGGTAAACGATTTCTTATTCGAAGCTAGACAGGTTAGCCGGTACCGCGGAAAACAGTACTGAAGTTGATGTCAATAGTGATGGCTGCGAATGCCCGTCGTTTGCATCCATCGCTTAGTCCGCTTCGTTCAGCCGTCCATGCTGCGACTGCCGCGGTACAACGCCATGTCGAGAATGACAGAGAGAAGGCACAGAGTGCTTCTGATTTTCGGTGCAACTTTTTTTTTTCTTTTTCAATAAACACTTTTGCAGTTTTTTTACAAGCCACAAAAAATGGGTGTCCTATCTTTTTTTTTATTTCTAATACTTGGTGCGTGCCTTCGATGACTCACCACTTCGATCATATTTGGTTTGTGTGTCTACACCACAGAGAACGGCACGTGACCTCAGAAAAGAGAGTGAGCACGACTCAAACCGGCCAATTCTCGATTGGCGGTTTTCGGGCGGAAAGAACACGAATTTCGAGCCGCAAATTGTTTTATGGGTACTTGGGCTCTTATATGTCATGTACAAATAAAAATTTTGGCAGGCGTAAATACCCTATCAGTGTCACTTAAGAAAAGAATGTAAATTGAGTCTGGAAACCGTCAGCTTGAAGTCTTAAACGTGAACTAAGCAGTCATGATACACGACCGCTCGCCAGTATGATGCTTATCCAGATCGACACGAGTAGGGGTGGGGACCGGACCCAGAATCCCTGGGCCCTGCAGCGTAACCTTTCGCTACACGTGCTCTGAGCTATGGCGCGCTCATACAGAAACAAGCACCGTAGCTAAAACCGGATTCTATGCTACATGGCCGAGAAAGAAAATAGACCCTCTTGAAAAGTCCATCAAGCAACTCTGGTGGCCGCCACGTTTTGGCCATAACTTCATGCGCGAAGCGGGCGATCGGATAAGAGTTCACACCCAGCACGGACGCAACACACTGGCGTCGAATACGTATGGACTCGAGTGCGAACCCCGACGCCGCAGGAGTGTCCAACGCATGTTCGAATTGCATGCTTACAATATGGTGGCCTCCGATAACCGACGCAGCAGGTACTGCACTTCCTTTCACCCTCATTGCCTAAAAAAAAAAGTAAAAGACTCGGCAAGGAGTGAATACTACGGCCCCATCGAGCCAATGAGAGCGACAGAGGCGAAGAACGTGACAGCCTTTGCCAATTATACAGGGACAAGAGCGTAACCCAAGCCTGTTTGAGAAGAGGGGGAGGAGGAAATTTCCTCTTACACGGGCCCTATTTTGTCTGTTCCAGACGTCGTTGCTGTCACCCTCAGCGATTTTGCCCGTCACTCAAAATACGTACAAAAGCGACTCCTCTCTCTCTCCCGCCCGTGGCTTCAAAAACAGCACTGCGCGCATCTAGTCAGATAGAGTATTCGCGCCTCGAGCTCGCTGCTCGCCCTCTTGTGGCGGAAACTGGAAGTGCTGCAGTGGGGGTCCCCGGGTTCTCCAGCTGCTCAGCGTGCACGGCGGAATGTTCGCGATCGCGGCTCGCGAATAGCCATTTATGAATGCAAACAGTGCTCTTCACTGTCCCAATGTAGTGCTGCTGCCGGTGTGGGATTGAACGTTATTAGAGAGTGTTGCTATGGCGTATGGAAGATAACAAAAGCGCTGCATGGTTACGTTAGAGTTGCGTGCTCCATGTCGTCGCCATGCTCCAGTACAAGACCGCTATTTTTGGGCTCCGCGTGCGCGCGGCATAGAACTTCGAGCGTGCACACGCAACGCTAACGCAAACAAACAGAGCTTACGTTCGCTCGTATGCGCTATTTCCAACGCCAACAAAACGTGCTGCACTGAGCAGGCGTGCAAGCGGGTAGGCGTTCCTTCGAACTGGAAAGGCTGAGATTGGCAAAACGAACGCGCGTCTGGAGCAGCGTCCGAAATGTTATAAAAATTTATAATAATAGAGAAACTGGGTCCGTTTTTTGCTTGTGTATTTTTAGGAGCATCTGATGGGAAAGGAATGGCGGTTGATTCGGAAGTTTTGCCCACAGTAACAAGTCGCGACTTTTATGGCACAATCTGCTTTATACGCAATAAATGTAATTTTGCGTGGATTTTTCAGACTGGCTACAATATTTTCATTGATTTTAGACTATTTATTTAAGTTTCTAATGAAAGACGCGGCAATTGGCACCAGTGATGATAATTTGCCGATTTGGGATTGCCATAGTTCGCGCGTTTGAAATTAGATCATAAGCAGCAAATTATATTACAGCTACAAAAACTACGTATTACAATAGCTTAATTGTAATATTATTATTACAAATTGCAGTAATGTACAGGAGGAACCCCGAAAAACGCCACAATCACAATTATTGCCATTTACATATAATAAAATGTCATTTTGTTTTCTATTTAGAATATGAAAAAGTGGCATCGCTATCAAGACATATATAAACACAGGGTATAATATATATAAAGTCCTAAGAGTCACGTGTTGCCTTAGGAAGCACACTTCTGTTGTCTCACTCGGATTTTGGTTTGGGGTTCTTGTAGGGAAAACATCGTTTCTTAATTTATACGTTTTGTTAACATATTATAAACTCATCACCTGTGGAGATATTCTGTAAAATTTCGATTGATTCTCTTAATCATGGGCTGGTATTAATCCTAAAGCATTTATCAATCTAAATGCCCCAGTTCCCTATTTCACATGGCAATTATCTGAGTATGAAAAGGTATAAAAAATACAAAATATCTGGGCTTATTTTTTGAACAAATACAATTTTGTAATGTGTATGAAAAACCCTGTCTTTGAAAAGTCCCTGAACTGGCCAGAATATTTTGAAATACGTGGGTCGGACACGTATGTCACAATATAAAATTTCCGCGAATAATCTCTTTAGCTAAATAAATACGCTGTGAGATACACCTTGAGTTAGGAGAGAAACCAAAGAATAAAAAGCTGCTCTGTAATTGGTTTTTGTTGTTGTCTTGTGTTAACAAAAAAATTCAATTTATTTTTTGCCTTTTTGTTTAGTTTAAATCTGCACGAAATATAGGGTGACCCAAGTCACCAAGCACGATCTAAAATGGACCATAAAAATCGACGCTTGCACGTAGCAACCTAAACTTTTCGTCAAAGGTGTATTTCACATATCGTTTTTTTTTTTTCTTGTAAAATTGCAAAGCGTAGTTCCCTTTCTGTAAAAAATAGGGCCAAGAAACTTGCCAGGATCTACGGCGGGCGGCGAAGCGGACGACCAAGTCCAGTAGCGGGATGTGTTCGGCGTTCGTATTGACAGATGGCGCCGGGAGCAGCGTCCGAAGGTGCAGCCAATGTTACTAGATTACCTCAGTTGTGGAACTACTCCGGAAGGAGGTACCCCCCATCATTCACTCCAGTCCGCTTTCCGGCGTTCGAAGCGCCATCTGGATTTTGGTTTACGAACTGTGTGTTCCATAGAGTACGGTTGAACGCCATCTAGACACTGCGCTTCAAAAAATACATATCCCATAGAATACACTGCAGTTACCAAAGCAGCCGTCCGGCGCGTCGAGCAACGGGAGGCGAGTCGTGGTGAGTGAGGGGGGGTACTGCTCGTGCATGCAGAGTTTATAAGCAGTTCTAACTTAGCTAATCTAATAACGTTGGATGCAGCCGACCAGCGAAAAAAAGCAAACATGCAGATGAAATCCGTTGGCAGCAAAAGCGCCGTCGTCATGCAGATGCGCTTTTTTTTTAACTTTAAGCTTTGCTTTTATTGTTTGCATTTATTTTTAACCAAATGTACATTTCAAAAAGATTATGTTCATTTTATTAAACCACGGTGGTCGCGATAAGGAGGT